GGATTTGTGTATGATACTAGTTTCTGTGAGGCTACTGGGCGATTCAAGATTAAACAGAGCTTTTGACATTTTGCGCGAAGTCACCCATGTTATCGGGGAGGGAGAGAGGTTGGGAAGGGAGCTGGGTTCCTATTCCAGTCTTCTAGCAGATGAAGTAGCGGGCCCGAGATTGCAGCGTACCAAGGGGATGGCAAGTAGACCTTCAGCTAACAGATTGATGGGACGGCCTTCCAAATGCCGTGGCTAAAAGCAAACCGTGACGTTCCCATTGCAAGACTGTTGATAAAACGGACAATATGCCCAATAAACTGGGCAGCTTGCTCTGTCAAGGGAAAAGTGGATTGATACGGAGGCAATACGGACAAATAAAGGGGATTAGGATTGGTTTTCTAGTCGATATCCAGGTAAAACAGAACAACCTTTTTCCTTCATACAAACAGACGAGTTAAGCACTGCTTCTATATGATTATAGGTATCATGCATAAATAAATAAATAGATAAATCACCTGCCACCTGCTTTCACTTGCTTCATCTTTGCTGCTTTGGTAAAGATGAGCTCGTCTTCGAAGAGGAAGATGTTGACCATTTGGAGTCGTGCACGCCTAGATCCCATTTTCATCATGTTCAGGGAAGAGCGAGCCACCAGCTCTTCTATCCTGCGTGAATTATTGGCATTTCCTTGACTCTAAAAAGGCAGCCAATGATAGAACTCTGCCCATAGATTTACATGGCATACAAGTGTTCTTTTTTCGCAGCCCTTTTCTTTGAGACCTATCTGCGCAATAACTGTAAATAATAGGGTCAGGATGTCTTTCTGTAGCCAGTCTGATGCCCTCACTACCCGTGCCGGAATTTCGATTCCGCTATGGGACTACACGACGTCAACTCTATGCGTATGCTCCATGTGTTCGGCTTTTTAAACACTATATTGGCGAAAACGAAACTTGCCAAGTTTCATAATAACTTTGTGGTTGATTCTGCAAATTCCTCCCAGGGGCACACACACAAAGTCTTGCAGTTTTCCAGTCATTAATAGGTCTATTCATACTGCGAACTTAAAATGAAGGAACAAAACTACAATGTATATCTTGTCTTCGTCGCAGATCAGTTTGGTCTACTTTCTGACTCCGTAAAATTGAGTTTGCCATGAACATGAGTCAGCAGGCAGTGTTATATGCGGAGAGAAGCAAAGGGAAGAGTTCCAAAAAGGCCATGTAGAAAAAGAGGAAAATGTGGTCACAGGAACTTGAGACTTATTGGGCTGACGTTTTGGATTCTCATGTGCGACCACCAGCGGTGAGCGCGATACCTGTTAATTAGATTAGGTACACGCATGCATGGGAACTGTGACCTGTCAATACTGCACTCCTGGCGCCCATGTTTGCGATGGTGGTTTCGAGTGTAAATCACAAACGGCAGAATAATAAACGTCACGTTACGGCAATCGCCGCTTCTTCTCCCTCTTCCTCTAATATGTTATATGCGGTTTCGTTAAGTAGTTGAGGAAATACTTCTTACCTCCAACATGGCCAGGTGAGCAGCGTTGTTCGTCCACGTGGCAACAAGTGCCAGGTGCCGGGATGCGGCTTCCAGACGCTCCATCTCCGAGGTACTGCAAACATCGTGCAGGACCTTCAGGACCTCCTGGTAGGTGCTGAGGACTTGCACGGGCTGCAGGAGAAGCCAGTGCAGACTAGCCTTCAGCCCAAGTCGTTGCTGTGCGAAGCAAAAATAGGAGGGCTCAGTAAAAAGGCAGTAGAGACTATGTACAGTATGTCAGAAGGAGAAAGGGCGTTCACCGGGAGAGGTTTAT